TATATTTTTACTTGCTGGTTATATTCTCCTAAACCAAGTGAACTGTTAAGAGTTAATTGAGTGCAGCAATATAACAAATTGTCAGTAAATTACACAAGATGATTTATTTGTTCATATATTTTGTACCTTACCATGTCTCTCACTTCATGAATTTTATATCATAATGCATTTTAAAAGCGCTAACAGACAAGACCAGCATAGATCTAAAATGCCTCCCAACAGCTGTGAGTTGTCAGCAGTCTCTAAAACACCAAATAAAGAGCATGTTGTTTCCACATAGTTGTTACAGTGTGCGCTGTTAATAGCAAAGAAAGACATACACATTAGAACGTTACTTGCAGATTAACGAGTATGTCAATAGGGATGTGAAATCCATTTGCACATGTCAAAGTTCGCACTAGTTTGCTCCAAGCTGGGGTTTGCCAACAAATGGAGGTATACTTTACCAGAAAACTCAAATTTCTCATGTGAACTGGTAAAGTGCTCAAAATTAAAACATACGTATCACTTCTCGGACAAGCACTGCACCTCTTCCTCACCGGAACTATGCACTCCTCTTCTGGGTTACTCTTAGGCACTTTGCAGGATCCCATGGGAATCCCACTTTTAACACTTTCCTTATCTAACTAATAAGGTCCAAAGAATATGAAAGCTCTGTACTGCTACATACTTAGTTCGTGCTGATCTTGAATACTCTTTACCAATAGCATGTGTTCCTGTGGCAAAACCATACAGTGCCTATAACAAGGAACGAGAACAACCTATTTCAGAAGAACTATATAATGCATTATTCATGATATCATGGATTTTGTTAATGGTGTGAAAGATCTACATGTAAATGTTCATAAAGATCAAAAAATCTGGGAATCGCTGTATTCCTAAGTAATCACTAGATTTGGCTGCTTATGCCACTAGTTGAACAGATAGACACTGGCAGATGTAGAGTGCAGAAGGCACCAGGGCAAAAACAAGTTTGAAGTTCCCTTCTACTGATGAGCTGAACATACTGTACCCAGGTTTGATTTTGTGAACTTTCAGGGAACATCATTGAAGTTCAGATCCAGAATCCAAACCCCACTGAAATCAATGAGAGCCAAATGGTCCTTTCCATTAATGGCCAGTTTTCCAAGCTAAAAGTCAAAGAATTGGCGAAGAAAGGGCATGGACGGGCTTGTCACTGACCTGGGGGACACATATCAAAGAAAATACATTTTTTAAATTGTCATTCAATGGGTAGAGACCATTTTAGAGAGGCTTAAATGACAACATAAAAAATATACAATTCCTTGTAGTTTATGCTTCTCCTCCTCACACGCCGATCCTGTGTGAGGAGGAGAAGCCAGTAACAGTGATTTACCACTATTTATTTACATTTGTGATCAGCTGTGATTTGAAAATTTCATTAGCTCCTCATCGATCGCTGTGCTGCACACCCTGAGTGGTGTGACCGGGAGGTAAGATATGCCTGCCCGGCCGTCAATCTGCTATAGGCCGATTAAAGTGCATCATTCTCATCAAGTGCATGTCCTCCCTGAGTTCTTTTAAGTTGATATACCTGAAGTGATCCCCAATGAAGAAAGAAAGAAGGCCCCTTGTGGTCCCCAGCATCTGGACAGTACTGCCCATGTGACCCCTCTAATTTTTCCCCAGCTGTTTCCATGTTGCATAAAATGTAATATTTATTCGGCAAGGACCATGCTCCCCTCTGCATGATGTTGTGTGTTGGGTTACTGTGGCACCAATAACACCCAAAACCTAATTCTTCCACCTCTGTTTTACAAATAATAAAATTAATATTTTTTTTTGGATGGATAAACACAATTTTGGTGATAAATATCTGTGCTGCATGACGGTGCATTGTCCCTAAAATTAGACAACACTTAGCGGCAGTAATGTATTTTGATTTTGTGCTGCCCTAGGCAAGACTAAAATCAGGCGCCCCCCCTCTAAATTTGTCCCACCCCTTCATGTTTAAGATCAACCCTTCATCTGTAAACTCCACCCCTTCCTCTTTAGGCTCCACCTGTTCCTATCAGAGCTCCACCGATTCCTCTATGTACATCAAAAGCAGATATATATATACATTAAAAGCAGATATATTTTGTTGTATGTATGGAAGGATGGGTGGATGAATGGAAGAAGGGAATGGTGGATGGGGGAACAGATGCATGGGTGGATGGATGGAAGAAAGGATGGATGGATGCACAGATGTCTGGATGGATTGGTGAATGAATGGAAGAATGGAAGGCTGGATGGGGGACGCTTCAAGGTCCCTCTGTCTGGAGATGAGCCCCTTCCATCCTGGGCTCCCTCCCAGGCTTCTGCGGCTCAGTCTCACATCTCCATCTTCCACCCGCACACTTTCCTGCTACTGAGCAGGCTCCAACGCTTTTAAGAGTGTCCCAGTCCCTTGCCAAGCCTTCTGTTGGGGATTGGCTGAGGTCCCTCAAGAGTGCAGCCGGCCACTCCTCAGATCCACCCACTGCCTCTAGAGCCTCCCTCTAAAGCTCCAGAGTAGGGGGAAATTCCAGAGGGACTGGCCTGCAGAGCCTCTCAGCCCTGACCACAATTTGACCCCAGTCTGGCTATTACACCTGGGCTGCTACTTAACCTCTGTCTAATCTAGCTCCCCCTAGCTACCTAGGAGAGCACTACAGTAGTAAGCAATGATGTCATAAATGGATTCCATTTATGTCTGTTGTTTACTAGGTGACATGTGATTGCACAGCGCACAGTAGCCCGATACGGAACACCGCAAACGGCTATGTCCTGTGGATGCACTGGTCGCAGACTGCAAGGGGACACATGCAGGGCGTATGATTGAGTGACATACAGGTACAATGCGGAAGGCCTCTGTTAGATATCAGGGGGCCCCGTACAGCCTACCTAACAGGGCCCCCCGACCACCAGATAAATATCAAAATTATATTTATGGTACAAATACACTAAAAACATTATTAATGTACACAATCCCAACAAATGTCCTGTTAAATCTAAATGATAAATCTGTACTGAGTTAATAAATAAATCTCTGTGTGTAAATGAGGTCTTGGGGCTCATTCACATGGGTGCTGTGGCCTGTAGAGTGTGAATCAGTGGTTTGTTTATGTGGCTGGAGCCGCTTGGAGCTGTTTGCAGGCAACCAATGTTACATTATGGAAACACTGCAGATCCTAATTTGACAGGCATATAGGTGCAGGTATACAGCCCTGAACACAGACAGTGAGCATTCAGGACCACTTCCCCGCCCTGCACACCTGTCAGATTAAAACCTGTGTTCATACAGCTGCTGTGTCTCCATTGTATGACAGGTGGCTCCGGCCATGTGAATAGCCCACTCATTCATGCTGTACAGGCCAGATGAACTGTGTGAATGTGTGGCATTTTTGACAATTTGTTTTCCTCAGCCCATTAATTTCAATGGACTGCTTAATGTGTGGGAACATGCAAAAATACTGCAGGCATATTATTTTAAAAGTGTGTTGCACCTAAGCACACAGTAGTGCAGTAACATGCGTTTTGGTGGCTGTGAATGCATCTGTGTTTACTAGATTTGTGGAGGTGCAATCAAGAATTTATGGTATCTGCGCACATCTGCAAAGGGCATTGCATTTCTTTGCTGTGCAGGAAAATGCACGCATTTGTGCACCAAAAATGGTGTGAACAAATTCTAAGGGTCAGTTCACAGTCTAGATGTGTTCTGGATGCGTTTTTGCTTGTACATTTTTAAGCATTTTTAGCATGTTCCGGTGCTTTTTTAATGCGTTTTTGACGCTTTCCAGTGCGTTTTTATGCATTCTAGTTCATTTTTCCCCCTCTCTATTTCTTCAATTTAATTAGGTACATCTATGTTCCAGTGTGTTTTTGGTATGTTCCGGTGTGTTTTTTATGCATTTTATCACATTACAGTACAGTTCTGTGCAGAAAAAATGCAGCATATTCTACGTTTTTTTTTTTCTGCAACTGAAATGCACTAGAACAGTAAGCACTGATGTGAACTATGACATTGACAACCATATAACCTACTTTCTGTGCATTTTGGATGCAGAAAAAAGCAACTGAAATGCATGTAGTGTGAACTGGCCCTAAAGGTATTATAGGTAAGGGAACGGGACTGACCAGGAATTGTGTGAAGGCAATCAGTGGTGAGATACAATTAGGAATCTTATAATAATGCGAGATTTGAGCTGTAGGTGATAGGAAATGAGACACATTAACTAGATCAGTAAATAAATAGTTAAATAAAAAGAGCTGAGCAGTGATACATAGATTTGCAGATGGAACAAGTGATGACCGAAGAGGACGTCAAGTTGTATAAGGAAAGAGAGGCTTGTAGCAGTGAACAGAAAGGGATCAGCAGTTTGGGGGAGAGGAGAGAAACAAAGTTGCAATCAAATGTAAACAGAAGGAAACTATGGTGTCCATTTATGAACCAGCAGTAATAGATCGCTGCTCAGTCCTCCGGCATTCTCGGAGAACACAGTTCTCCTGTGAATGCCGTTTATGAAGCATATGTAGATCAGTTCTCCAAACAAAGGGAGAACGGTCTCCAAACGCTGGAAAACGGCTGATTTTACTATAATCTTGCGAGATTACAGTAAAAGATCAGTTTAGTAAGCAGAGGTAAATTATCTCTGCTTAGTTTGCGGTCCCTCCGATTCTCCAGCTCTGGGCTGGAGAATCTGGAGGGAGAACACAGATCTCCAGTGAAGGGCTGAACATGTTTTCCTGAGTGTTATAAACTGAATGACCAGAGAATAGCTGTGATCCTCTGAATCGCAGCTATTCTCTGTGTCATAAAAGGACACCTTAGTGTCAAACCTGTGGAGCAGAGCAGGAGCGCCTCTAACATCACAACTAGAGATGAGCGAATTATTCAAAAATTCGATTCGGCTGATTCGGCTGATTCGGCGAATTCGCGGAATAAATTCGATTCGAGTTGAATATATTCGCTGCGAATTTAACTTATAAAAAGGGTGTTTCTAGGCTTCAGAGAGCCTTTATATTAGTGCAGAACACTGTACCTTTAATTTAAATGCCCTTGGAGTCTGCTGGGGAAGAGAGAGATAATACTGTCAGTCAGTATGACATGCAGATGAGTGCCGTCGATCTTAGAATCACCGCACACTTCACTCATTTGGGCAGTCACGGGGCCAAAACCAGAGTGTGGAGCCACAGTGTGGCGGTGGAGGCAGCAGCAATGGGAGGCCATACAGCACCCTATGAAAAAATGGAACCCACCAGCAGTGTGAGGAGACCTGAAAGTGGCACATGGCAGAGTGTGGCGATGGAGACAGCAGCAATGGGAGGCCGTACAGGGACCCATGACACACTCTGGACCTGGCAGCAGCATGAGGAGGCGGTACAGGGGCCCATGACAGATTACGGGCCTGGGCAGCAGCATGAGGAGTCGGTACGGGGGCCCATGGCAGATTACGGGCCTGGCAGCAGCAATGGGAGGCCATACAGCACCCTATGACAAAATGGAACCCACCAGCAGTGTGAGGAGACCTGAAAGTGGCACATGGCAGAGAGTGTGGCGATGGAGACAGCAGCAATGGGAGGCCGTACAGGGACCCATGACACACTCTGGACCTGGCAGCAGCATGAGGAGGCGGTACAGGGGCCCATGACAGATTACGGGCCTGGCAGCAGCATGAGGAGTCGGTACGGGGGACCATGGCAGATTACGGGCCTGGCAGCAGCAATGGGAGGCCATACAGCACCCTATGACAAAATGGAACCCACCAGCAGTGTGAGGAGACCTGAAAGTGGCACATGGCAGAGTGTGGCGATGGAGACAGCAGCAATGGGAGGCCGTACAGGGACCCATGACACACTCTGGACCTGGCAGCAGCATGAGGAGGCGGACCAGGGGCCCATGACAGATTACGGGCCTGGCAGCAGCATGAGGAGTCGGTACGGGGGCCCATGGCAGATTTACGGGCCTGGCAGCAGCAATGGGAGGCCCGTAATCTGCCAGCACCCTATGACAAAATGGAACCCACCAGCAGTGTGAGGAGACCTGAAAGTGGCACATGGCAGAGTGTGGGGTTGGAGACAGCAGCAATGGGAGGCCGTACAGGGACCCATGACACACTCTGGACCTGGCAGCATGAGGAGGCGGTACAGGGGCCCATGACAGATTACTGGGCCTGGCAGCAGCATGAGGAGTCGGTACGGGGGCCCATGGCAGATTACGGGCCTGGCAGCAGCAATGGGAGGCCCGTAAATCTGCCAGCACCCTATGACAAAATGGAACCCACCAGCAGTGTGAGGAGACCTGAAAGTGGCACATGGCAGAGTGTGGCGATGGAGACAGCAGCAATGGGAGGCCGTACAGGGACCCATGACACACTCTGGACCTGGCAGCAGCATGAGGAGGCGCGGTACAGGGGCCCATGACAGATTACAGGCCTGGCAGCAGCATGAGGAGTCGGTACGGGGGCCCATGGCAGATTACGGGCCTGGCAGCAGCAATGGGAGGCCCGTAATCTGCCAGCACCCTATGACAAAATGGAACCCACCAGCAGTGTGAGGAGACCTGAAAGTGGCACATGGCAGAGTGTGGCGATGGAGACAGCAGCAATGGAGGCCGTACAGGGACCCATGACACACTCTGGACCTGGCAGCAGCATGAGGAGGCGGTACAGGGGCCCATGACAGATTACGGGCCTGGCAGCAGCATGAGGAGTCGGTACGGGGGCCCATGGCAGATTACGGGCCTGGCAGCAGCAATGGGAGGCCATACAGCACACACCCTATGACAAAATGGAACCCACCAGCAGTGTGAGGAGACCTGAAAGTGGCACATGGCAGAGTGTGGCGATGGAGACAGCAGCAATAGGAGGCCGTACAGGGACCCATGACACACTCTGGACCTGGCAGCAGCATGAGGAGGCGGTACAGGGGCCCATGACAGATTACGGGCCTGGCAGCAGCATGAGGAGTCGGTACGGGGGCCCATGCAGTCGGTACAATGGGGGGTAATCTGCCAGCACCCATGGCAGAGTGTGACGGGCCTGGCAGCAGCAATGGCGATGGCCGTACAGGGTACAGGACCCATGACACACTCTGGACCTGGCAGCAGCATGAGGAGGCGGTACAGGGGCCCATGACAGATTACGGGCCTGGCAGCAGCATGAGGAGTCGGTACGGGGGCCCATGGCAGATTACGGGCCTGGCAGCAGCAATGGGAGGCCCGTAATCTGCCAGCACCCTATGACAAAATGGAACCCACCAGCAGTGTGAGGAGACCTGAAAGTGGCACATGGCAGAGTGTGGCGATGGAGACAGCAGCAATGGGAGGCCGTACAGGGACCCATGACACACTCTGGACCTGGCAGCAGCATGAGGAGGCGGTACAGGGCCCATGACAGATTACGGGCCTGGCAGCAGCATGAGGAGTCGGTACGGGGGCCCATGGCAGATTACGGGCCTGGCAGCAGCAATGGGAGGCCCGTAATCTGCCAGCACCCTATGACAAAATGGAACCCACCAGCAGTGTGAGGAGACCTGAAAGTGGCACATGGCAGAGTGTGGCGATGGAGACAGCAGCAATGGGAGGCCGTACAGGGACCCATGACACACTCTGGACCTGGCAGCAGCATGAGGAGGCGGTACAGGGGCCCATGACAGATTACTGGGCCTGGCAGCAGCATGAGGAGTCGGTACGGGGGCCCATGGCAGATTACGGGCCTGGCAGCAGCAATGGGAGGCCCGTAATCTGCCAGCACCCTATGACAAAATGGAACCCACCAGCAGTGTGAGGAGACCTGAAAGTGGCACATGGCAGAGTGTGGCGATGGAGACAGCAGCAATGGGAGGCCGTACAGGGACCCATGACACACTCTGGACCTGGCAGCATGAGGAGGCGGTACAGGGGCCCATGACAGATTACGGGCCTGGCAGCAGCATGAGGAGTCGGTACGGGGGCCCATGGCAGATTACGGGCCTGGCAGCAGCAATGGGAGGCCCGTAATCTGCCAGCACCCTATGACAAAATGGAAACCCACCAGCAGTGTGAGGAGACCTGAAAGTGGCACATGGCAGAGTGTGGCGATGGAGACAGCAGCAATGGGAGGCCGTACAGGGACCCATGACACACTCTGGACCTGGCAGCAGCATGAGGAGGCGGTACAGGGGCCCATGACAGATTACGGGCCTGGCAGCAGCATGAGGAGTCGGTACGGGGGCCCATGGCAGATACGGGCCTGGCAGCAGCAATGGGAGGCCCGTAATCTGCCAGCACCCTATGACAAAATGGAACCCACCAGCAGTGTGAGGAGACCTGAAAGTGGCACATGGCAGAGTGTGGCGATGGAGACAGCAGCAATGGGAGGCCGTACAGGGACCCATGACACACTCTGGACCTGGCAGCAGCATGAGGAGGCGGGTACAGGGGCCCATGACAGATTACGGGCCTGGCAGCAGCATGAGGAGTCGGTACGGGGGCCCATGGCAGATTACGGGCCTGGCAGCAGCAATGGGAGGCCCGTAATCTGCCAGCACCCTATGACAAAATGGAACCCACCAGCAGTGTGAGGAGACCTGAAAGTGGCACATGGCAGAGTGTGGCGATGGAGACAGCAGCAATGGGAGGCCGTACAGGGACCCATGACACACTCTGGACCTGGCAGCAGCATGAGGAGGCGGTACAGGGGCCCATGACAGATTACGGGCCTGGCAGCAGCATGAGGAGTCGGTACGGGGGCCCATGGCAGATTACGGGCCTGGCAGCAGCAATGGGAGGCCCGTAATCTGCCAGCACCCTATGACAAAATGGAACCCACCAGCAGTGTGAGGAGACCTGAAAGTGGCACATGGCAGAGTGTGGCGATGGAGACAGCAGCAATGGGAGGCCGTACAGGGGGACCCATGACACACTCTGGACCTGGCAGCAGCATGAGGAGGCGGTACAGGGGCCCATGACAGATTACAGGCCTGGCAGCAGCATGAGGAGTCGGTACGGGGGCCCATGGCAGATTACGGGCCTGGCAGCAGCAATGGGAGGCCCGTAATCTGCCAGCACCCTATGACAAAATGGAACCCACCAGCAGTGTGAGGAGACCTGAAAGTGGCACATGGCAGAGTGTGGCGATGGAGACAGCAGCAATGGGAGGCCGTACAGGGACCCATGACACACTCTGGACCTGGCAGCAGCATGAGGAGGCGGTACAGGGGCCCATGACAGATAACGGGCCTGGCAGCAGCATGGGAGGCCCGTAATCTGAGGACCCTATGACGGTACAGGGGGCCCATGGCAGATTACGGGCTGAGCAGCAGCAATGGGAGGCCGTACAGGGACCCATGACACACTCTGGACCTGGCAGCAGCATGAGGAGGCGGTACAGGGGCCCATGACAGATTACGGGCCTGGCAGCAGCATGAGGAAACGGGGGCCCATGGCAGATTACGGGCCTGGAGCAGCAGCAATGGGAGGCCCGTAATCTGCCAGCACCCTATGACAAAATGGAACCCACCAGCAGTGTGAGGAGACCTGAAAGTGGCACATGGCAGAGTGTGGCGATGGAGACAGCAGCAATGGGAGGCCGTACAGGGACCCATGACACACTCTGGACCTGGCAGCAGCATGAGGAGGCGGTACAGGGGCCCATGACAGATTACGGGCCTGGCAGCAGCATGAGGAGTCGGTACGGGGGGGCCCATGGCAGATTACGGGCCTGGAGACAGCAGCAATGGGAGGCCGTACAGGGACCCATGACACACTCTGGACCTGGCAGCAGCATGAGGAGGCGGTACAGGGGCCCATGACAGATTACGGGCCTGGCAGCAGCAGCATGAGGAGTCGGTACGGGGGCCCATGGCAGATTACGGGCCTGGCAGCAGCAATGGGAGGCCCGTAATCTGCCAGCACCCTATGACAAAATGGAACCCACCAGCAGTGTGAGGAGACCTGAAAGTGGCACATGGCAGAGTGTGGCGATGGAGACAGCAGCAATGGGAGGCCGTACAGGGACCCATGACACACTCTGGACCTGGCAGCAGCATGAGGAGAGGCGGTACAGTACAGGGGCCCATGACAGATTACGGGCCTGGCAGCAGCAGCAGCATGAGGAGTCGGTACAGGGGCCCATGGCAGATTACGGGCCTGGCAGCAGCAATGGGAGGCCCGTAATCTGCCAGCACCCTATGACAAAATGGAACCCACCAGCAGTGTGAGGAGACCTGAAAGTGGCACATGGCAGAGTGTGGCGATGGAGACAGCAGCAATGGGAGGCCGTACAGGGACCCATGACACACTCTGGACCTGGCAGCAGCATGAGGAGACAGCGGTATGAGGAGTCGGTACAGGGGCCCATGACAGATTACGGGCCTGGCAGCAGCATGTAATCTGCCAGCACCCTATGACAAAAGAACCCACCAGCAGTGTGAGGAGACCTGAAAGTGGCCCATGGCAGATTGTGGCGATGGAGCAGCAGCAATGGGAGGCCGTACAGGGACCCATGACACACTCTGGACCTGGCAGCAGCATGAGGAGGCGGTACAGGGGCCCATGACAGATTACGGGCCTGGCAGCAGCATGAGGAGTCGGTACGGGGGCCCATGGCAGATTACGGGCCTGGCAGCAGCAATGGGAGGCCCGTAATCTGCCAGCACCCTATGACAAAATGGAACCCACCAGCAGTGTGAGGAGACCTGAAAGTGGCACATGGCAGAGTGTGGCGATGGAGACAGCAGCAATGGGAGGCCGTACAGGGACCCATGACACACTCTGGACCTGGCAGCAGCATGAGGAGGCGGTACGGGGGCCCATGGCAGATTACGGGCCTGGCAGCAGCAATGGGAGGCCCGTAATCTGCCAGCACCCCTATGACAAAATGGAACCCACCAGCAGTGTGAGGAGACCTGAAAGTGGCACATGGCAGAGTGTGGCGATGGAGACAGCAGCAATGGGGAGAGGCCGTACAGGGACCCATGACACACTCTGGACCTGGCAGCAGCATGAGGAGGCGGTACAGGGGCCCATGACAGATTACGGGCCTGGCAGCAGCATGAGGAGTCGGTACGGGGGCCCATGGCAGATTACGGGCCTGGCAGCAGCAATGGGAGGCCCGTAATCTGCCAGCACCCTATGACAAAATGGAACCCACCAGCAGTGTGTGAGGAGACCTGAAAGTGGCACATGGCAGAGTGTGGCGATGGAGACAGCAGCAATGGGAGGCCGTACAGGGACCCATGACACACTCTGGACCTGGCAGCAGCATGAGGAGGGGCGGTACAGGGGCCCATGACAGCATTACGTGGCGAAGCAGCAGCAGCTTAAATTGAAGGCCATACCCAGGCCTATGTTAAAAATAATAACAGCATTGAGGGCATGATTCATGGCGGATTTAGTCAGTTGTGTCAGAACTGGTGGTTTGAAATCCAGACTAACCCGCCTGATTCATTTTCACACAAACGTGAGTCTCTCCAGCACTTTGGGTGGACAGTACGTGTCCCCGCGGCAGTTACAATACCTCCTGCCGCAGCAAACACGCGCTCCGTACAGGGACCCACGCTACTGGCCTGGCATGACAGCCTTTCAAGGGCAAATTCAGCTAGGGGGCCCAAGGTCAAGTTTCGTTGCCCAGTAGTCAAGGGGATTGTCTAATGGTTGGCAGGGCACCCTGTCCAAGTAGGCCCAAGCCTGTTGTTTGAGGTCCTGCTCCAGGTCCACCTGATTGCTGCTGCAGCTGCAATGTGAGGAGGCCTGGTTAGTAGTTTCCTCACTGCGCTGTGAAGAAAGCTACATCATCATCGACCCTGCAGACTGAGGCAGCCGCTGACAGCAGCGTGGAGCTGCCCATGACAGCACTCTGGCCTGGCAGCAGAGAGTCGGTACTGCCCCAGATTGGGCCTAGCCACCCCACCCCTCCCCTGCTGCCATGGCTATGAACGCAAACGCACAGGGCCCACAGTGTCTGAGGATGGACGTTGGCGCAGAAAGGCAGAGACCAACTGACTACATAGGTGGTTTTTATAGTACGTTATTTTGGCCTCCCTCTCAGCAGGTGTGAAAAAGGCCACCATTTTTGAACGGTAGCGAGGGGTCCAACAAGGTGGACAGCCAAAAGTCATCCCTCTGTCTGATGGTTATTATTCGGCTGTCGCTACGGGGGCCCAGCAACCGAGCAGCTACGGGCCTGGGCAGCAGCAATGTGCCAAGGAATGCGAGGGACATCCCTGCCCCATCTCCACAGCATACTGCCACGGCAGCGTCTGGGTCCTCTGGGCCTCCTCCTCCTCTACCAGATTACTGCTCCTCCACTCCTGTCAGCTGAGTGGAAAAACCACCCATTTCACTCAATAATTCCTGAGCACCAATGTCCTCCTCACCTCCTCCTGAGGAGGCGGTACAGGGCCCAGGCTAGATTTACGGGTTCCTGTCCTGCCCCCACAGGGGTCATGAGTTGAGATCTGTGCGCCCATGTCTACCGCACCCTGACCAGCCATTGTTAACAGCATTTGTTCCAGGACGGCAACAGAGGAATGACGTCCTGGCAGCAGCAATGAGGAGTCCGGTGCCGACCCATGACAGAATAGCGTGGCCTCCTCAAAGGGCCTGAGCAAGCGGCATGGGTGGCACGCATGATCTGCCAATGGCTGACATCTAAGTTACACATGGGAGTACCTTTGATCCCTTGTAACATCAGGAAATCGGTGATGGCATGGAGACGCAGCAATGAGGAGGCCTAACATATGTAGGGCCCATGAGATTCCACCTGTTGCAGCAGCATGAGGAGTCGGTACGGGGGCCCATGGCAGATTACGGGCCTGGCAGCAGCAATGGGAGGCCCGTAATCTGCCAGCACCCTATGACAAAATGGAACCCACCAGCAGTGTGAGGAGACCTGAAAGTGGCACATGGCAGAGTGTGGCGATGGAGACAGCAGCAATGGGAGGCCGTACAGGGACCCATGACACACTCTGGACCTGGCAGCAGCATGAGGAGGCGGTACAGGGGCCCATGACAGATTACGGGCCTGGCAGCAGCATGAGGAGTCGGTACGGGGGCCCATGGCAGATTACGGGCCTGGCAGCAGCAATGGGAGGCCGTAATCTGCCAGCACCCTATGACAAAATGGAACCCACCAGCAGTGTGAGGAGACCTGAAAGTGGCACATGGCAGAGTGTGGCGATGGAGACAGCAGCAATGGGAGGCCGTACAGGGACCCATGACACACTCTGGACCTGGCAGCAGCATGAGGAGGCGGTACAGGGGCCCATGACAGATTTACGGGCCTGGCAGCAGCATGAGGAGTCGGTACGGGGGCCCATGGCAGATTACGGGCCTGGCAGCAGCAATGGGAGGCCGTACAGCACCCTATGACAAAATGGAACCCACAGCAGCAGTGTGAGGAGACCTGAAAGTGGCACATGGCAGAGTGTGGCGATGGAGACAGCAGCAATGGGAGGCCGTACAGGGACCCATGACACACTCTGGACCTGGCAGCAGCATGAGGAGGCGGTACAGGGGCCCATGACAGATTACGGGCCTGGCAGCAGCATGAGGAGGCCCGTAACTGCCAGCACCCTATGACATGGTTTGTGATTACGACCTGAAAGCCTGGCAGCAGCAATGGGAGGCCGTACAGGGACCCATGACACACTCTGGACCTGGCACAGCAGCATGAGGAGACAGCAGTACAGGGGCCCATGACAGAT